TATTGAGAAAAACACCTTAGATTAAGAACAACCACAGTTAATTACAGCAGCAGATTTGTTTCAAGATTTTTATGATGCTATTCTATTTTACTCATCTCATCTTCAATAACAAAAGCTGTATAGTTTGCTTGCTTTCGACTACACTATATGTACTTTCACAAACTAAAAAAAGACTAGATGAAATCTCCCGCGTACTCGTTGCCTCACAGTTTCGGCAAAAATCGATGCCCGGTTTTAATTTAACGGCAATTAACAGGTTTGAATGTTTGACTACATAGGGTAGGATTTGTAACATAATCAACCTCACTGCCGCGAAATTCTGTTTCAACATGGAAACAGATTGAGGACAAATAAAATTTGGTCTTTATAGATCGAAAAGAAGGAGATATATGTGCTGCAAATGAAAGTATTCTCCATTTATAGGACTGATATCAGCTCTTTACATCAGCCTTTTTTCCCTGTAAAAAACTTCGCACTTGGTTCTATAATGATGTTAGCAAAAATCGGTTCGTTCTGAGTGAGGACTACGTTTGATAGCGTTTCTTTGTAACCTCATCTACGTCATCTAAACCAAACATTGCGAATCTTTGACAGCAATAGAGCATTACAAGTAAAAACATTTGTACGCTAGGTTTATTAACAACTTTATTGCGATTTTGTCACAAGGCCAGCAGTTTCATGTATGCTCTCTTGCGTCTTCTCTGTCTTATGCTTTGGAGGATCGTCCTTAAAGTAGCTTGAAGTTGAGCAAAACTGTGAAGTAATTAATTTTTCAAACCTTGTCGCAGTCATATTCTGGCATAACATTTCCAACCTCTCGTAAGGTATCATCATCTTTTCGCCTTCTCACCTGTAAAAGGGAGGGTTAAGATTATAAACCAACAATCATTACCTACAAGTTCTGCGGATCCAAGGAAGCCCGGGATGCGTGGCTGAAAGTGAACAGTATTAATTATTTCTGAGTTATATGTTTTTTTTGTACCCACCTTGGATAGAACTTTAGGTTCCTTCTCTTTCATTTCCCTTCCTGTCTTATTTGA